TTTGTGACATACTGCTGACAAAGGCTTTCAGGCAAAACCACAGGAGACACACCCCTGCCCCAAAAAACAAAATCCTACATTGTGTCATCTAATGATGACACTTCCTCAAATGACAGCCAGTAAATAGCTAAACGTGGGCTTTCCAGTGATGGCAAGGTCAGTATGGTTGACAGGTGCTGCTATTAACCATACAGACGACTCGAAATAAAGGCTGTGACAATATAATGAATGACAATAAGTGAAGGACATTGTTCCATCTTTTTCTTGAGGTTCTCTGGCGACTTAGTGGCAGGTTAAATTTTGGTAGACTGTCATGTTTGGACTTGTCCACAGCTGACTGAACCTTTTCTTTCTGGCATCAGTTTGAGAACCGCTGAACTAACAGAACAAATCCTCTGCACTGTAAAAAATATCCCCAACAAAAGCTTTGTTTCTTTCTGTTTACATGAAAGCTAAAGCTGGGAAAGTGGCACTGGCAGTAGTGCAGAAGTAGATGTTATGTTTTACATCATTTAAATCTCACTTAACTACAGGTCAATGTACTAATGCTAAAATAATTTTAAAAAAGTACAAAGTATGCTTAGCGTATTAGTTAACATTGTGTTCATGAATAATACATTTCAAACAGCAGACAGTTGAAAAGGATGGAGATGCAGCTGTGTTATGTCTTAAATTAGATCTCTCATTAATGACTTATAATATGTTTTGGAATGTTCAATCAATAAATTGTTCATTATAATTACAGTTACAGTTATAGTTGCAATTATAATTAGATTACAACTTGGTTTATGACAATAAATCGGTGAAATGACAGATTTAAGGAGCAGCCAGTGTGTCCATCTGCATCCCCGACTCCTATACGGGAAGTGTGGATTCGGCTCTCTGATAAGAACTTCCTAACCTCTGATCCTATCAGTCTTATCCAGGAGGCAATGCAGGGCTGGGTGAGGGGACTCTCCCACTACTCGTCCAGGTGTCTCCCCTGCTCACTCTGATCAGATAAGCAAACACCTGAGTCGCCTTGCAGGTCAAATCCTATTAGTCCCACGTGTTAACGGTAGCTCCTCCAATGATTGTGATACTTCTAATGCCTGGGCTTAACTCTAGTGGCCTGGAAAATAGGCCCCAAGGGAAGGTCATAATTACAGCGCTAGAGTAACCTGTAAGAGCTATTTGCTCTCACAGGTTAGAGAAAGGATGAGCACAACCAGACCTTTGGATGCATTTATGCTGTGTTCCAAGTTGATGATAATCACCCAGTGGAAGTATGATGTATCCTGAATTAACCATCTAACACAGCTAAACTGGAAAGTCAAAAATATACAACCAGTTTGCAGGTTCACAGGTTCTGGTGTCACTTTCAGCTGTGGATGTCTTAGATCCTTATCTTGCAGAAGAACCCTTTTTGTCCCCTCTCTTATTGGACGTCACTTTATTAA